ACTAATAAGATAATATTCTGACTATTTCGTTCCCTCAGAATATTCATTAAACAGATTGAAGGTCAAATTGTTCAAAGAGTGTAGCATATGTATTCAATGCTCTGCTAACAGCTTCGAGTAAATCATAACAAATTATTGACTACGGTAAAGCACTAAAATTACCTCTTATTGCCATTAAAAATCGCAAATGCTGATGAATCAAGAAGTACAAAAAGTAATCTGACCAAACTCATAAAAAGAAAAACATCACTGAAAACAGAAATGCCAACAAAGACTGATGAATCTGCATATATTGTTGACCTGATGGTTTTGATCAGGATGCAGCATAATACACAAAACACGTATGAAGATTTAACAATGCAGTTAATCCAGACAATACGTTATACAAACACTGTATTGCAGACACATACCAAGCAAATATCATTTAAGATCCGGAGCGTTTAAAACGTGGATGTGCTGATAAGGTTATAATGAATTCTGCTGAATCTTGAAATGTGGAAAACCAAATGTGTGATAAATCTAATACAGGGAGTCATTATTGAGCAAAAAATAGAAATTTGTTTTCAAATGACAAGTTTGATCATATTTTCACAAAAGATGTTGCTATATCTAATGATCTGTTAAGTGAACAAGGCAGTTACGGGTTAGTCCTTCATGTCTCTTACACACTGATCATGAAACTGTCATTTTACGGAATCACTCTAGAGGTACTGATATAAATCATTTCGTAGCAATTCAAGATATGGAAGGGCAATTATTTACTTTAGCAAAGAGATGAATAGAAAAATAATACATCTTGCTATATAGCCATAATTTGCAGTCTGTCTCTCACAAGAAATAAGCAATTATCACCAGTAGAAAGTGCCTGGGTTAATACAATACAAAAATTAATACATGAATATTTAACTTCTTGAAATAAAAAAAAACAGTACTACGAGCATTGCTGTGGTAACATATTATTTCTTAAATCTTTCAAAGCAGAATGTATCACTGATCCAACATATTTGCCAAACGCCCATGGGTTGTGTTTATGATTAGCCATATGTACTCTAATATTTGTCACAGTTGATCTATTATTGTTCACATTTGCTCTTTATTAGCCATACTTCAGATAAGATCGGCCAAATTTGGCTTAATATTTACTGTATTTACACTTTGCATAATGTAACCACTTTTGTGTAAGTACACTGGTTTAGCATTAAAACATCTTCTTAAGCCAATTACATTATCCTTTGTCACGTATTTAGCTATTTGTACCACTTTTTACTGTATCAAATAACAAAAACGTTTATCTAATTCTACATTTGATAACACAATATCTGCCATTGCACATGTAATATCTATATCGTAACTACAATGTACTTGTACAATGTAATGACTATATGGACACTATTGGGTTAATAGCATTCATAATTCTTGAGCCAAGGCACATAATGTGCATATATGACATGTACATATTATAATACATTCCAATAATAAATTATTATTATTATTATTTTTAATCTGTTGTGTAACACAGTGGGATAAGGTATGGTGTACATAAATAACATGATTTCCATTTTCAGTTTTTTATAAAAGAAAATGACGTGTAAATACGATTTATAATTTCGTGCCAGATGTTATATTGTAGATTAAAATAACTTTCGTTGATATATAACACAATAAATGTCGATACATGATCTATAATTACGTAATTTGACCACTATATTTTCCGAACCCACCTGAAGCTAGCAATTAGTCAAAATTTTTTTTCACCCACATAAGGTGTTATAAAAACAAATTCTCATTATTGTTCTCAGTAGTATGTTTACATAAACAAACTTCCGGCCTCTTTAGATCGACACTTGCTTGATGTTTGTGAGGTGAGAAAGAAGTCACTAATTAATTTTACTTCTGTATTAAATAACATTGGAATTTCATAACTTCCACTTTCATTTCCAGGTTAGAATAACAGCCCGTGCCGTAACAGTGTATTGTGTGAATATTTGATTGAATGTTCGGGATGTTCTCTTTCCCTGTTTATGTAAACGATTTAGGCTTTGAGATCAATTGACCTGAATTCGAAAAGCATACTGTTTTATTTGGTATTTTCGGTGCGATTGAGTGATGGATTTGGTTTTCTAATTGCGTATAGAATTGCGTATATGTACATAATTGTATATATCTTAGCGAAGTCACGTGACACTACTGCGTTAATAATGAGAATAATAATATCTAATCTGAGATTTGAGTTGAGCGTGAAAACAATATGGAGAATAGGTAATTTGATTGTGATTTAACAGGTAACAATTTAGTACATTTTTAGATAACCAGTGAAAAGACGAAAAAGTTGGTTCAACATACGTAAAATACAAAGATTTCAGTATAAGATAATTTGTTTGTACTTTTGGTGAAATACGTTAGTTTTGTTGCAAACTTGTCAATTCAATGGAAGCTAGAGGGCCTCAAGTATATGAGGGTCCCGCGAGTATATATCAGGGGATATCTTAATGATCAAGGACCAGAGCGAGGATATATAAAAGAGATTAGGGCAGTGGAGGTAGCTGATTATCTTTGAACTGATGACAGACACGAACATCATTCACCGATGTCATGCAGGCGACATCGGAATACTTGTTCGACCATGCTTTCTATTGTATATTGTTATCTGTGATTCCTTCTACGAGGTGTATTGTTCAGCTAGCGGCATCATGGTAATTCGTCCCTCCTCGTCTACCGTTGATTAGAACAATACAAGTATAGTCAATCAACGTGAAATAGACTTTTCTATCGGGATTCATTAGGACGTGCCATTACCGCCCATATTCTCCCAACGCAGACACGTGAACACACAAATGCTACCCATAATAGCTCAACGTTCACACATGCACACACACACATACTGGTGTAACCTTAGTTGTGACGCCACACATTGAATTAACTTTCAATATAGTTGAATTAACTTTTAATATGGTTGCGATATGAACTCGATTAAAACGCGTTCCTATATAGGGTTGCGTTTAAATTGGAGTTTAATTAAACTCAATTACAATGCAATACAAGGTAGAATTGCGTTTTAATTAAGTTTAATTTAAAAAAACTTGAATATCCCATGACTGAACATAGAAATCGGGGGAAGGTAAAGTACAATTATATTAATATTAATATAAATTGAACCATACCTTCCCCCCTTTACTAAACCTAAGCTTCGCAAACTTGACTTAAATTCGATTAAATATTAATATAAATTATGAAACATTGTGACCATGCACACACACCCCCATACAGTCACGCAGAATAGCTCAACTTATACAATTCTGTCCACAGCAAAAACGATAACGCTGTGGGTTTATATGCAATTAATGATCACGAAAAATATGAACACGGCAAGCACCTCGCCACCGTGATTGGCGCGTTCCACACTGACGAGTTGTCAACGCACAAGCTAAATCTCTGATATGTACATACAGCGTATAGTGATATAATACATACATATACATATCTACTAAATTAAGACTAAACATAAACAAAGCCATAACTACATTGATGTTCTCTGTGCAAATCATTTTACTTGGTACATATGAGGGATGGAACAGATGCCTAGAACTCAATGAATAGAAAGATAGTTTCTTAGTGTTTATATTTTTGCTGTAAATATCGATTCAGAGTACAATTCATTTTGGTAAAATGCAATGGATGACGTGGAATGGAAGGAAAAAACAACCGATCACGAACCACAAATACAAATACAAATAACAAGCGTAATAATACTCTTCTATTGCAAATTAATTTAAATTACAGTAACAGTTTCACAAAATGTGGGTAAACTGATTAATACTAGGAGAATAAACACACTATTTATTGCGTGTTGGTGCCTGTAATTCTTGCTCATATAATTCTTCTTAATTGAATATTACACAATTTAAATAATTAAATGTCCGGAACTCGCCATTTGTAATGAAAAATAATCTGTGTGCACAAATATTTGGCTATAATCTATACTTTATGAAATATATCGATATTTATGATATTAACAGTAATATATACGTTGTAGTCGGCCAGATCTCATCATACTTCATTTCGCATTTTTTTGCGATGAGTCGAAAATTATACATTACGTGTTGCTTTGTGGCGGTGACATTCATTCCGCTTACGGTTGCTTTGGCCGATCGAGGTAGACAAGATGCCCAACCGCATCAAAGATCGACAAGATTTGTAGGAAAAGATGCATCGATGGTATGTAGCTTTTCATCATTTGTTGTTTAAAATGTATAGATGTATAGTCCTAACGTCAATATTAATGGTCATTATGATAAGCAGTATTGACTGTATTGCTATAAACGGCCGTTCATTAAAAGAACGATCGTTGCTATCATGCTTGATCAAACACATTGCCCTCGTGTATTGTATTGTTAATCCCCTCACCTGAAGCGTTTTTCTCCTTGCAATTTGCAATGAACAGCGCGAACATCAGTCGTTCACTTGTCGATATTACCGTTCACTCCATCTAAAATGAATATTTAAGTGACATCTGGTAATTAAAATAATCCAAAAACCTGGACAATGGCGTGTAAAGACCAGGGGATATTGAATCAATCGATATCAATATTCGTTTCAGGGAAATAATAAACCACGGTCGTATTATATCGAGTTACACGGCGGGCATATTCTATTAGAATAATATATCTGAGATGATAGTTACTTTTAATGTGTTTGTATATTTGCATAATGAATGTAGTACAATGACAGTGTATTTGTAAGTTTTTGCTTTCGCTAAATTTATGCTGAGGTGATGTAATCAACTCCATGTTTGGAACTCGTATGCGATAATTGAGTCACGTACCAGTAACGTGTCCAGATGCAAGGCGTAATGTGTCTGGACTTATATAATACGTCAAAATGACAATTTATAATTGATAAGGCAAGACTTTTTTATTTCTTGTTTCGTGAGTTTTTATAAGGCAATTTTTTTGAGGAGGGCGGGAAAAAAATAAAATTAATTCTTTTTTTCCATCAGATTTGTGTGATTCTCAAAGAATTGTAAGTGAGATCATTGATCGGAGAAAAGAAATGAAATAAAATTGTATTCCATGTATAACCTTGTTTCTCATCTGCGCGAGACTTCGGTACTTTGATTATGATACTGCCACAAGAAATGCAACTTGGATTTGTTATGCGGCGGGCGGTAAAAAATGAAGATAACAATACTATTTTTTAGCATTTTTTCGCGTTTACAAGTCGGCGGGCGCGAGAAATTACGCTGAAATAAAATTATATTTTTATTTCATTTTCCACTTCTGCTCATTCGGCAAGTTCGCGAAACAAGGGATAATAAAAGTCTGGCCTAAACAATAAATTTATATTTTCTTCACTTTTGTTTATAGCCACGATGGAGTACTGATCCAGGACTGAGAACTGATTTAGAAGCTAACCCTAGAACAAAAGATCAAAGTAAGTTATCATGTCACAAACCTGATGGAAACTATTATTGCTGATGTATGTATGACAGTACAACAATACCCCATGTTTGAAAATACTAATATTTCAGGTACAATTGATTTCTACTTGCATGATGCATATATCACTATAATTTCAGTGATGTCATTTTTGACATTACAGTCTAGTCATTCGTAATGTTTTCCATTAGCATTAATACATTTGTCAATTATGTCATTTATTCACAGCAACTATTATCATGCAGTGTGGTTGTGGTGTGGCATGTGGTGCCGGGTATTTCCAGTGTTCGGATGGCAGCTGTATCCCAGACTACTACACATGTGATGGCTGGTTCGATTGTGCAGATGGATCCGATGAATTCTGCTGGGTTAACTACTGTTCGTATGATGAATATGAATGCTGGGACGGTTCTTGCATTCCATATACCTGGGTTTGTGATGGTGATTATGACTGTTGGTATGGAGAAGACGAAAACTGTGTGTGTGACTATGATGAATTCGAATGTTGGGATGGAAGTTGTATTCCAGACTACTGGGTTTGTGATGGCTATGATGACTGTTGGTATGGAGAAGATGAAAATTGTCCTCCGTATGGGTGTGACAATGATGAATATGAATGTTGGGATGGAACATGTATTCCCGACTACTGGGTTTGTGATGGCTATGATGACTGTTGGTATGGAGAAGACGAAAATTGTCCTCCGTATGGGTGTGACTAATGATGAATATGAATGTTGGATGGTAACATGTATTCCAGACTACTGGGTTTGTGATGGCTATAATGACTGTTGGTATGGAGAAGACGAAAATTGTCCTCCGTACGGTTGTGACTATGATGAATTTGAATGTTGGGATGGAAGTTGTATTCCAGACCACTGGGTTTGTGATGGCTATAATGACTGTTGGTATGGAGAAGACGAAGATTGTCCTCCATACGGGTGTGAGTATGATGAATATGAATGTTTGGATGGTACATGTATTCCAGACTACTGGGTTTGTGATGGCTATAATGACTGTTGGTATGGAGAAGACGAGGATTACTGTTGGCTATATAGTGCACTTACTTAATTTGTAAATTTCTACGTGGTAGAATATGAATGAATGTATTCATTATTAGGAAGTGTATGATGGTCTATATTTTGTGGGAATTGCATTATTCTCTATTTAGCACAAGTTTACATTATTCTAATCTTCACATTTTCATTTTATCAAGCAATGTATTCTTGTTGGACCTTGGGTATTACCACAAACACAATCCTAGTTTGAATAGAACAAATCCAGATACACATGGTTAAGTGTGGTTGCAAATATGGTTAAGGATGCTGTACATCTTTCTGGTACTGTTTAGCTAAACCAAGGTTTCAAAACGAAATATTCCGTTAATTAATCTTCACAGGATAGTTTGTTGAAGTGCTTGGGTCAAACGATTTGCAATTTGTCAACAGTTGAAAATAATGCTGTACAGCATCGTTAATCTGTAAACCGAACGTTTTGTTCATTTTGTAGAAACACTACTCTGACGACTCTTCTGAACCTTCCATTCCGCTTTGTGATTAAATATTGGCTATATGAATCGATCACTTGTTGTTGTGTTTTGTTGTACCTAGAGAAACAATTTGAAATTGAACAGTAGCAAAACAGTAATATCATATATATCAACGCTTCACTGAAAAGGACATGTATATTAAATGTCCCTAATGGTTGAATAAACTGTTACTTGTGTATATAAACAATACAAATATTTTTTGCAGTGCATAATATTTTTTTATTAGCATACTATTATTTTTTGTGATAAATTCGAAGACAGAAAATACTGGTAAGATGCCAATGATGTCATCAGATTTACATGTTGCAGTGAGAAGCTTGGTTTGAAGTAATCCAACAATGAGACTTCATTTTTTTAGAATGTGCTCTGCTATTTTATATGAATTCCACTGCACATCAATTATTTCGCTAGGAAATACTAAAAACATCTATGCATAATATGTGACAAGCAATAATGCAGAATTCAAAATAACACATTCAACCGTTGATCTGAATAACATTTACACACTAAAAAATAAGACAAACAATCAACAAAACAATACACCAAACAAAATAACTGACAAGTACAAGATCTTTCTCTTACTGATTTGTTATATGTATGGCATATATAAACGGATGTCACATCCTGTTCCACGTGGTACGCCAAATATCAATCATGACCAAAATGTTTCCATATGAAACCTAATATATCTACACCAAACATGTGACACTGACGTCATATTCTGAGATCATTTTGTAATCAATAATGCATTTAACCACAAGTTCATTATATCTCAAAACCTCTGTGAATGTAGGGCATTTGTTCTCTACAACCCCTTTGGTCTAACACTTTAAACGGTAAAAGACACTGTCTTTTCACAAAATGTGCATGTGTACTACAGACTCGGCATTGCAAATGAGTTCGTAAATGTATATTCCTTAGGAAGAGTAGTGGGGTATTGCTGCAAAGATGTAATAGTAGTCGACTTAGTCTTTTCCACAAAACAAAACGAAACCCCAACCCTAACTCGGATTTTTTTCATTTACCTAATAATATCTGAGAAAATTTCAACACTGTGAATCACGAAATGGATAGCGCCATCAGTGTTTAGCAAATCCAAAATGGATGTTACTTCATTTCAGTACAAATGAATCAAGCTAAAAAGCAGGCGGAGAAGAGGTGGAAACTAAATATTCTCCACAAATTTATTTCTGTGACGTGGCGATATTTGAAGTCATTCAAAATTTAAGGTTAGGGTTTCGTTTCGTTTCGTGGAAAAGACTAAGACATAATAGTCATATTTATGTATGCAGCAAGCAAAACAGATTTCGTAGTCTCAAGAAAGTGCAATTTGTGGTAGAGCAATCATAAGTAGTTGAATTAGCGTGAATAAATGATAGCTAATGGCTCGATTCTTACGGTATACCATTCATGATTGGAAAATATCCTCTTTCTCTGCTGAAATAATGTGCGTTAATATAATTAAACATGCATGTTCGTTTGCAGTTTTACATTAGTAATTTCGCCTTCACCAATAGGCAGATTGTTATTTGGCCTGGTAATAATACCCCAGTCACAGTCCCTGTATTGAAGGACTGTGATAACGGTAAAACGCGAAACCCGATTCCACAGTAACGCCAAATATTTGATTTATCATGACAGCTGTCTTGAATTGCGTTATGTTTCCTTGAGTTATATTTGTTCTGAGTCTAGCAAAGGTGTTTGACAGTGTATATTCGCATTGAGCGAGGGGTTGCCTCTATTGGCTTTGGACATGGCTGACGTATTTGTTTAACTAGTAGGCTGCATGCTAGTTTTGTGGACCACATTCTGATTGGCTCATGTGGAAACCCATGTGATGTACCAGAATCTGGGCCATTTATGCCTATAAATTGGACAGACTGAGGACAGTTGGAATCATATTTTCAACTGATTATCCTGTGTGTTGCTGCTGCATTATTGTGA